GAACACGTTGATCTTCGAGTCTTCATCTCCTTTTTGGCTCAAACTTCGAGGTAGGGATATCCTACTCCTCTCTATGAATTTTATCTTTAAATTTTAGTATTTTGAGATGTTGAGGTTGGTTTGGTAATTTTGTGAAAGTTTGGGGCTTTTGTGCAATTTTACAAAGTGTGGGGTTTTAATTCATCATAAACCTAGATGATGTTTGGCATAGAGAAATGGATATTGATGTTAAATCATTGATGAAAATGGGACCTAAGGTGTGATAATGTTAATTATGGGAATTTGACCTAATTACATTGTTTTAATTAATTGGGATAATTAATGAGAAGGAATGAATGAGAAAGAAATGTGATTTGAATATCCATAATGCATTTATTTTCTGTTTAGAAATAACTGCTTTGGGCTACGGTGGAGGATTCGTGATTGTTGTAAGACAATGCTAATGAGATTAGGCAAACTGAAACTATAAATGAAATGTGTCCATGAATTTGGACGGTAATAGATACTTAACTATATGTATTGAGGATTGTATATAGAACATTTGTTTGTATACGTTTATGTGTAGAGAGGGGAGATAGGAGGATGTACTCCGCGGTTTAGTGGGAGAGATAGGGGATGACTCTTAAACCGGATAGTGTTTGGGAGAAGATAGGGGAATGAACTCCGTAATACAAGCTCATAATGCTTATGTTAAGAAGTGAAGTAGAGCTTATATGCTTGATCTTTGTGATGTGTGGATATTAGCTCATATGCTTATCTGTGGATATTGTGGTTACACTTATCTGTTTGTAGATGTGGATATAGCTTATATGCTTATCTGAATGTGGGATTAGTTTTTGATACATATCTGTGGAAATGAAGATAGAGCTAGCATGCTTATCTGTTGAAAAAAAAGAAAATGAAAGGAAACTTTGGGCTCATAAGTCGTATGACATAAATATGTGATTTAATGTGATTGTATCAGCGTTGACCATCTATCAATTGCTAATATTTTAGTCATTGTTCATGGTTGGTTTAGTGTATTTCTACTGGGCTGTGGCTCACCCTATATGGGAATATCATTTCAGGTGCAGGAAGCATGCCACCTCCAAGGACATAGCTGGGAGGCTAGAGGCGGACATACTTTTGTCGCTTAACTTTTGATGTATTACATGTAACTTCAAGCCAAGGGCTTAATGTGTAAACGAGTTAGTACTCTTTTGTTGTAACCAAGTGTTAACTTGGAAAGCTATAAGCCCGTAGGGCATTTTGCTTTGATGTTAACATGTAATATTTATGTAATGGAACTCTAATGAATAAAGAATGTGGTTAGTTTATATGTAAATGCATGTCTTATCTGATGGGTTTAATGTTGTTATTTTGAGGGCGTTACAAAATGCATGCAAAATGCAAGTGATGTGCAGAAAACAGTGCGATGAGGTGCGCAAGATAGCGCGATAAAATGCATGCAAACACTACAACAAGTTGGGTCTTGAATGACGAAATTTTTTTGTCTCCGAAAAGCTAATTTCGTCACTATAGATATTTGTGAGGAAATATTTTCGTCACTGGTTTCGTCATTGAATGTTTGTCACTAAAAACCATTGTGACGAAAAATAATTTCGTCACCAATGAAATTACTTTAGTGACGAAATTTTTTGTCACCAATAAACCAACATTTTGTCGTTAAAAATTCTCATTTTCGTCATCAAATAGTTATTCAGTACCATATTTATAACTTTAGTTGACGAATAAATTTGTCACACATGTGGATTATTGATGAGGAAATAATTTCGTCACAGTAACATGTAAAGGTGACGAAATTTTTCGTCACACATGTTGATCATTAATGAGGAAATAATTTCGTCACAGTAAGATGTAATGTTTCGTCACAAATATATATATATACGTGACGAAATTTTTAGTCACCAAATAACAAAATCAATGAAAACTTTCATATATAGGCTGCAATAAATTTTGTCACAAAAATTGTTTATTAGCGACGAATAATCACTTTGTCATAATAACAAGTACAAATGACGAAACAAATTCGTCACTAAACTTGTTCCATATTTTATAATTTAATTTAAATTATTATTTCACAAATATCTCTGCTCATATCTCAATAGTTTTCAAATATACTAACAAATCCACTGGCTATTATACACCACTCCACAAAACAATTCAATAACCAATATATATTATAAATCAAAATATATCCATCAAAAAAATTTAATAATAATTCATTAAGTATAACAAAAACACTATCACAACTAATCTCAAAATGAACTAAGTATCAATCGACAAAAAAAATAACATTTGATCTTGATTTACGAGTAGAACTAAGTATTAGTCCACAAAAAATATCAACACTTGATCTTGATTGGCAAGTATGCTTCCAAATGTCATCAAAAATCAATCTGCAAAGAAAATAAAAAAGGAAAACATTAATATATTATCAATTACAACTAAACTAATATATAAATAATTTTATTTTATAAACCAATTTAGCAAAAATGCATTTTTTTAATATTGGACTTTCATCTGTCCTAAACCACAAAAAACAGCTGATCTAACTGGGGCAAGTGAATCATGTGAAATGAACACATATGAACCTACCAATATTGAAAACAATCAAGCAACATGATGACTTTTATTGTCATTTAGAATGGTTCAGTGAAACTTGGAAATTGGAATCAAAGGTGGTCCACTATTATGCAAGCATCATACCCAATTGATGAGCAACTAACCAAAACATAATAAAACAACTACAAATAAACATAGAAAGGAAAAAAACCAATATACACCCCCTAAGCTGCCATCCCTTGAACTAGCATACATTCCATTCATATTGTGAGTTTCCAAACCAAAAGTCTCGTGCTTATACTATGTGTTTTTACAAGTCACTTATGTCCTTAATAAGGAGTTCAAACCAAATCCTGGGCATTTTCATGATTATTACACTGTTTTCCATATTTTAAAGCTAAAGAGTTCAATAAATGCAAGTTTGATACTCACCCAAAAAAAAAAATGCAAGTTTGAGCTAAATTTTCAAATCGGGAGTCTAGTGCTTGTTCGGTGAGTTTGTATAAGTCACTTTGGTCCTTACTAAGGTGTTTGAATTGATCATTGGGTATTTCTATGGCTAATTCAAAATTTTCCCTCTGGATGCCAATTTTCAACCTCAAGTGTTCAAAAAATGTACCCAAAAAAAAAAAAGGTGTTCAAAAAATGCAGATTTGAGCTTAATTTTAAATAGGGAATCCTATGATTGTTCCATGAGTTTCTACAAGTTAGTTTAATCCTTACTAAGTTGTTAGTATTGATTCTTGGGTATTTTCCGTGACTATTTCATGATTTTTCCCTCTAAATGCTTATTTTCAAGCATAAATACTAAAAAAAAATATTTTGTTCTTACTTCTATGCTTACTTTTGGTTGGCATGAAGTCAACTACAACAACAAAAGACAATCAAAACAACAAACACTAACAGAACCTTGCTTCCCCTGTTTCAAAGTCGAGCTAAAAGCAACAAACAATACTTAAGACTTAAACTAAGAACATCAAACCTACCATATAAGCACCACAAATCAGCACCCAAACACAACAATCAAACCAGACCCAATACAGTAGCAATCATGCCACAAGGTGTTTAATGCTACTTGGATTTTTTGGTACTGTTGCTGGTAACATCAAGCATTTGGTTTTGTTTATTCCCAACTAGGTTGCATCCATACTAAAGGCTGATATGGACTGCACAAGAATAAGGTTAGAGTGCCATCTGTTAGGCCATTTGTTAGAGGTGGCAACTTATGTGTTGTGTCTTTATACACAGTTCTAACTTGGATTCTATTAATTTCCTTTTAGTTTCTTCATTTCTTATTTCTCTTAAATTTTTTTCTTATTTTAATTAACCGTATACATAAGCGATTATGAGATTTTATTAGCAAAAATCAAGATTAATATTGAACTTGATGTTAGCATAATCTCAATGTCATTGCCCTTAAAGCAGTACTAAAACTAATTTTATTTTAATTTTTTGGTTATTTTCTTCACAAAGTGGATAATATATTGATTCCAAATAATAAAGCTGTAATAGTGGAAAACAAAAGGACTAAAAGTGAAGTCAAAGATATAAGATTTGCAAATATGAAAATTTGACCACAATCTACAATTTAAACTACCAGTAAGCAAATATAATGCTAAAGACATAACTGACAGATTTTAATGGGTTCTAGCAATTGATGGGACTTGCTTTGGGGGTTGTGTTTAGGTGGTGTGAGTAGGGTCTGCTTTGGGGGCTGTATTTAAGTGGTGTGAGCCTTGTCGTAATCCAGATTTATGTCCTATTTTCAAACCTAAAGTGTTATGTTTTACATTGTTATAGAAATTGTTGGGTATGTATGCAAACAACCTTCCTTGTGGAGGGATTCAAATATATGGTGGACACTGCAGCTGATTTAAAAAATAAGATAAGAAGTCCAAGAAAATAAACATGATAGTTTTAAGCCAAGTAACTACAAGGAAAATTGTGTACATAAAGCACAATAACATACGTGAAAAGAGAGAAGATTCTAAAGCATACACTACTACAAAAACAGTTAAAGATCACACTTTTTTTGTGTGATGTAAGTTATTTAGGATGCTTTGATCTCTAATGAGGTCTTTCATATACCTCATTGCATAAAACCCACATTCTACGTTTGTGGGTTGTTGCGGGGACTACATGAAAGCATTTTCATTATTATTAGAAACTACATATAAAGTGCTATGATCAAGCTGAACAACCATTAGCATAAATATAAGAGTGATAAAATTAGAGAAAAGCATCTTTCAACAACACTCAAAACTAAAATATATACAAACTAAAACAACAAAAGCATCCACTTTCTATATCATATGTATAACCAGCCGCTTGCAACAAAATGAAGAACATTATGAACCTAAAAGGAAATGAACAATCAATAATTTTCAATTCAAACAATGTCAATGATTTAATTTAACAAATGAGACCAAAAGAGTGTAACAATCAACATAAAAAAGCAAAGAACATACAAAATGAGCCTTATCAAATCAAAATTCTGCATACCCGATGGCTTCTCAGGGTCAAAGAATGTGTACCACAAATCTTACTTCAAACTCCTTATACTTTGAGGGCAAAGTCAGATTGAACAATTTGTACAACTAAACTTGCATCCCTCGGACTAAACTGTGAGACCGCTTTCTATTTATCTACCTTCAGTAATTGAGGATGAAGTTAATGGCGTAGATTCAGCTTGTTGAGACTCATCAGAGGAGCCTCGAGAAGCTTCCTTTTTCAACTTGTGGTGCTACACCTGTAATGGCTGCATAAAAAAACATATTTCTTCACTAGGTCAATAGGTATCTAAGAAACACAGATGTAAAAACAAGATGCAGATGCAACATAATACGGACATACTAAAACTACAATTTTCAAAAAATGGAGACAAAAAAATTGAAAATATAACAGAGAACACCCTAAAGTATATTTTAAGAAGGCATAAGGATTCACAAACAAATTGGAAAGTATTAGTCTTTATGGTTTGATAAATTAAAAACCCTGATGGAGTAATTAGTTGGTATAAAAAATTTCTTTTCATTTGACTCTATTTTTTCCCAAACTTGAACCAAGGCCACAGATGTGCCTCACACATGCTAGCATGTCTGTTTTTTTTTTTTTAAAAATAAAAAAAGGGCTTAATTGGACACATGTCAGACATAGACATGCTGACCTAGGAGGCATGTCCATGCTTCCTAGATAGGTAATCTCTATTTCATGAAATCACATGTCTAATAAAAAACAAAGTTAAATCACATATCTTCTTGTCCTGCACAAATAGTATTAAAGACAGCAGAAATATTATTGCAGTACATTAAAATTGAAAATTTCTTTTCTGAGTGATCAATAGGGTACTCATCCAGATCCTAAGCACAATCACTATTTGAAATGCAGATGAAATAAACAATAGTATTTTTTTTATCAAAGAATGGGAAAAAAAATAATACATTAAAAAGCAGAAGAAAAAGAGAAAACCAAATGCAACACACAATATGCTAAGCATTGCCCCAGTGAAAATATGAAAAAAAGGCATATCTCAATGGTTAGATAAGCAACAGTACCCACATCAAGAAAATGTGAATTCCATAACATTGAAAATGCAAATTTTTTATAAAGCTCTGAGAAAAATAAATTTTTATGGATAATACAAAGGATAACCACCTATACAATGCCCTTTTTAAAATATGACAGACTGCAGTTTTTTGTTCTACTTTCTTGGAATTGATTTCCAATGTGAACAATCTATAATACTAGAATATAAATAGTACAACATTGAGAATATACAAAGGATATACTGAATATACAAATAAATATCATAATACTAATGTCAAATTTTGAGACAATAGACTATAGTGAAAACCCAAAACAAAAGTACTTGTTATCGAAAAATTACCAATGCCATAACCAAACAGATTTATCATTGTCAGCATTGTATCGGCAAACAGAAGGGCTGATAGTAACCACCCAATCCTTGACAACTCCAGTAACATGAATTGCCAAAGCACTTGTATGCGAGATCACAAGAAAAACTGATAGATTGAGAGCAAAAGTACAGAGAGAGTTGAGTGTCAGGATAACAGGTTGAAAGCTCCATGTCCCTTGGGCATCCATCTTTGGCTTCTCTAGAAAAATCCACAGATGAACAAGCAAAGAGCACTACACAAGAACTATGATTCCGTTCACATGGTAAAAAGGTTCTGTATACAAACATCAAATGGTGAAAGAAATAATGATAACAATTGAACTTTGGCAGATGAAAATACATGCCTGTAGGGACTAACGTAGTACATGACAGAAATAGAGTTTAGTTTGAGACCCTTCCTTTTAACAAAAATCTCCATGAATATAAGCCTCAAAGCTTCCCCGACAACACCTCCCATTTGGTAAATCACACCAATCCAGTTAATATCAATCTCCTCATATGAAACCACTAGAACACCAAAACTTATCACTGACATTTTTAAAAGCATTCTACAGCTCATCATTTCAAGTCCAGTTGCAACTCCAAGAATGAAAACAGCTACTGGCACTGCAGATCTCAGTCAGAAATCAAACGTGCTATCACTAACAGAGGTAACAACAATAGTTATATGAATCCTCGAGTCAACAATCATTCCTAAGGAGAAGGATTAATTAAAAAAGAGGGATAATCAATACTTACTAATTGCTTTCAACATTTGAGCAAAGGCAACAGATATATAGAGATAAGCAGTATTTCCCAACAAAGAGTCATTGCAAACATTGCACCAATTGGGATGATCGATGTAACATATCTGAATGTTAAAACTTAATTAGATTTATTTTATTGTACATTGAAGGAGGAGGGGTTGCAGAAGCAAATATTAAATATTAAATTCAATTTTTTTATTAAAATAATAACATATTTAAAACTAACTAGCCATTGAATAAAATAATAAAACAAGGGTAAGATTTATTTAAAATAATAAAATATTAAATTCAATTTTTTTAATAAAATAATAACATATTTAGAACTAACATAGATAAGATTTATTTAATTTTAAATTTGATTTTTTTTCCTTTAGAAATAATTGTAACTGGTATAATTAATCATAGTCTATGTACAATTCATAAATTTGGCAAACAACCATCCATTAATTTCAAATAACTCGTCAAATAAATAGGCTTTTCGAGTTTTTGAGGTAAAAACAATCATCTATTAGTTTAAATAATTCACCACATCAACCATTCACTTGTTTTGAATCTTTATCAAATTTTGTCGAGTCCTTTTAAATTTAGGTGGAGTTTTTTATGGACTAGTATAATAGCTAAAAATATTTTGGACCCTTTTTTTTCTTATAATCAATTTTCGGCACTGGCGACCCTATATTCTTCATATATAGAATAGCAATTTTGGGCATTTAAAACCCTAGAAATCATTGTCATCTTATATCCTTTTCAATTTACTACATTCTTTTTAATTTTTGTATGATATACAACAAGTTAATCTATTTCCTAAACAGAGGGCCATTAATCCATCTTCATGGGTGATCTCAAGCTTAAGGATAAGATTGCACCAAGTCAGTTCCATACAAATTCTTATCAAATGTAGAACTAGACAAACCTGAATCAATACTAGAATTCCAACCCAAAACTGAGTGGAGGAACAATGAATTAATATAAATAAAACCAAACCAAAATTCCTTGGGTGGGATACAGGGCAAAGAGGGACCACCTACCGAAGCAGAATGAAGTAGTGAGGTGTAGCACAATGACCGCAACAGCAAACGGCAGAAACCGTGAGAGAGGGTGAACTTCCAATCGTAAGAGAACGAGTGAAAATCGTGGAGAGAGATGAGGGGTTTTTACCTACCAGCAAAAACAAGAGAGGGGAATTTGGGAGGGCTTATAAAAGAGGTCCCTGTTTGGTTTGAGTTTTGTTTTCTAATTTTTTTTTTCTTATTTCATTTTTAAATGTTTAAGAATTATTCATATCCTTTCTAAAATTATGAAACAAAATTTTACATATTATTTTTATTGTTTTATTATATGTGACAAAATTTTATAATTTGTCACGAATTATTCTTATTTAGTGATGAAATTTATTTTCTTCACTACTTTTCGTCACCATAGGTTACTTAGAGAGCTAATTAACTTGTGTTTTGTCTTGAGAGAGAGAGAGTGAGAGAGAGGGGAGAGGAAAACTAATAAAAATAAAAATAAAAAGGGGGATGAAAAGTAGTCTATTTTTTTTCATTACCGCCTAACATGTCAAAATTTTTCCTCCAAAATTAGTGACAAAATAATTTCCTCACTAAAAAGCCTCAAAATATTAAAAATTATTAGTGACAAAAATATATTTCTCACCAAATGGTCTTAAAAAATTTAAAATCAAGTTTCACAAAAAATATATATATACAATTATTGGTAACGAAAATATATTTCTCACTAATAATTTTATAATTGGTGACAAAAAAATTTCTCACTGAAAGTCGCAAAAATTTGGTGCCGCAAAAAAAAAAAATTAGCAGGAAAATCTTCTGTGACGAAACTTAATTTTTCCTCACCGAAAAAGAAGTATTTGTTGACAAAAATAAATTTTTTCACCTATTATTTTTATTTTTTATTATATGTGACAAAATTTTATAATTCATCACGGATTATTCTTATTTAGTGACGAAATTTATTTTCTTCACTACTTTTCGTCACCATAGGTTACTTAGAGAGCTAATTAACTTATGTTTTGTTTTGAAAGAGAGAGGGGGGGTGAGAGGAAAACTGATAAACAAAAATAAATAGGGGAAAAGAGTTACTAGTCCATTTTTTTCTATTACCGTCCAATATGTCAAAAAAATTTCCTCCAAAATTAGTGACAAAATAATTTCCACACTAAAAAGTCTCAAAATATTAAAAATTATTAGTGACAAATATATTTCTCACCAAATGGTCTTAAAATATTTAAAATCAAGTTTCTCAAAAAAAATATATACAAAATTCTTGGTGACGAAAATATATTCGTCATTAATAATTTTATAATTGGTGACAAATTTTTTTTTCACTAAAAGTCTCAAAATTTTGGCGCCACCAAAAAAAAATAGTGGAAAACCTTTGGTGACAAAACTTAATTTTTCCTCACCTAAAAAGAAAATTTTGATGACAAAAATAAATTTCGTCACCTATTATTTTTATTTTTTTATTATATGTGACAAAATTTTATAATTCGTCACAAATTATTTTTATTTAATGACGAAATTTATTTTCTTCACTACTTTTCGTCACCATAGGTTACTTTTGTTGTAGTGAAAATGCAAGTAATGTGCAGAAAACAGTGCGATGAGGTGCGCAAGATAGCGCGACAAAATGCAAGTAATGTGCACAAAACAGTGCGATGAGGTGCGCAAGATAGCGCGATAAAATGGATGGAAAATGCAAGTAATGGTCACAGCGCAAAATAGCGCGATGTACAAAATAACGCGATAAAATGCATGAAAAATGCAAGTAATGTGCAGAAAAAAGTGCGATGAGGTGCGCAAGATAGCGCGATAAAATGCATGCAAAATGCAAGTAATGTGTAGAAAACAGTACGATGAGGTGCGCAAGATAGCGCGACAAAATGCATGGAAAATGCATGTAATGGTCACAGCGCAAAATAAGGCGATAAAATGCATGCAAAATGCAAGTAATGTGCAGAAAACAGTGCGATGAGGTGCGGAAGATAACGCGACAAAATGCATGCAAAATGCAAGTAATGTGCAGAAAACAGTGCGATGAGGTGCGCAAGATAGCGCGATAAAATGCATGCAAAATGCAAGTAAGGTGCAGAAAACAGTGCGATGAGGTGCGCAAGATAGCCCGACAAAATGCATGCAAATTGCAAGTAACGTGCAGAAAACAGTGCCATGAGGTGCGCAAGATAGCGCGATAAAATGCATGCAAAATGCAAGTAATGTGCAGAAAACAGTGCGATGAGGTGCGCAAGATAGCGCGATAAAAGGCATGCAAAATGCAAGTAATGTGCAGAAAACAGTGCGATGAGGTGCGCAAGATAGCACGACAAAATGCATGCAAAATGCATGTAATGTGCAAAAAACAGTGCGATGAGGTGCGCAAGATAGCGCGACAAAATGCATGCAAAATGCAAGTAATGTGCAGAAAATAGTGCGATGAGGAGCGCAAGATAGCGTGATAAAATGCATGAAAAATGCAAGTAATGGTCGGAGCGCAAAATAGCGCGATGCGCAAGATAGCGCGATAAAATGCATGCAAAATGCAAGTAATGTGCAGAAAACTGTGCGATGAGGTGCGCAAGATAGCACGACCAAATGCATGCAAAATGCAAGTAATGGTCACAGTGCAAAATATGAGGTGCCCAAGATAGCGCGACAAAATGCTTGCAGAAAGCATGTAATGTACAGAAAACAGTGCGATGAGGTGCGCAAGATAGCGTGACAAAATGCATGCAAAATGCAAGTAATGGTCACAACGCAAAATATCGCGATGCGCAAGATAGGGCGATAAAATGCATGCAAAATGCAAGTAATGTGTAGAAAACAGTGCGATGAGTTGCGCAAGATAGTGCGATAAAACGCATGCGAAATGCAAGTAATGTGCAGGAAACAGTGCGATGAGGTGCGCAGGATAGCGCGATAAAATGCATGTATAACGCAAGTAATGTGCAGAAAACAGTGCGATGAGGGGCGCAACATAACGCGATAAAATGGATGCAAAATGCAAGTAATGGTCACCGCGCAAAATAGCGCGAAGCACAAGATAGCGTGATAAAGTGCATGCAAAATGCAAGTAGTGTGCAGAAAACAGTGCGATGAGTTACGCAAGATAGCGCGATAAAATGCATGCAAAATGTAAGTAATGTGCAGAAAACAGTGCGATAAGGTGCGCAAGGTAGCGCGATAAAATGCATGGAAAATGCAAGCAATGGTCACAGCGCAAAATAGAGCGATGCGCAAGATAACGCGATAAAATGCATGCAAAATGCAAGTAATGGTCACAGCGCAAAATAGCGCGATAAAAATTGAGCAAAATGCAAGTAATGTGCCAAAAAAACAGTGCGATGAGGTGCGCAAGATTAGCGCGATAAACTGCAATGCAAATGCAAGTAATGGTCAACAGCGCAAGAATTAGCGCGATCAAAGATACGCGATGCAAAGCATGAAAATCAAGTAATGTGCAGAAATCGTGCTGATGAGGTGGCAAGATAGCACGACAAAATGCATGCAAAATTAAAGTAATGGTACAGGAAAAGTCGATGAGGTACGCGCAAGATAGCGCGACAAAATGCATGCAAACATGCAATGTAATGTGCACGAAATCAGGCGATGAAGGTGCGCCAAGGATAGCGCGACAAAAGCATGCAAAATGAGTAATTGCGAAATATCATGCGAGAGTTGCGCAAGATAGGGACATAAATGCAGCAAAATGCAAGTAATGTGCAAAGAAAACAGTGCGATGAGTGTCGCAAGAATAGCTGCGACAAAATGCATGCCAAAAACGCAAGTAATGGCAGGAAAAAAGTTGCGATGAGTGTGCCCAGATAGTCGCGATAAAATGCATAATTATAACGCAAGTAATGTGCCAGAAACTCAGTGCGATTGATGGTGCGGCTAAGATAGCGTGAAAACGGCATGCAAAATGCAGTAAGGTCCAGCGCAAAATAGCGCGATGCGACAAGATCGCGTATAAATGCATGCAAAATGCAAAGTAATGTGCAGACAAATCAGTGCGATGAGTACGACAAGATACGCCGAAAAATCATGCAAAATTGACTAAAAAATGTGGCAGAAAAACAGTGGGAGGTGCGCAAGATAGCGCGATAAAAGCATGGAAAATGCATAGTAATGTCATAGCGCAAAATAGCGCGATGCGCAAGATAGGCGAATGCATCAAAATGCAGTATTCGCAAAAAATGCGTAAAGCAGAAATGCTAAGTAGTGCAGAAAAAAAGTGCGATGAGGTGCCGCAAATAGCGCAACAAAATGCAATGCAAAATGCGTAAGTAAATGTGCAGAAAACAGGCGATGAGATGCGCACAAGATAGCCGAAAAATAAAAAAAAAAAAAAAAAAAAAAAAAAAAAAAAAAAAAAAGAAAAAAAAAAAAAAACAAATGCATGCAATGCAAGTATGGTCACAGCGCAATAGAGCGTGCGTACAAATAGCTCGTAAAAGTGCATGAAATGCTAGAATGTGCGCAGAAAACAGTGCGAAAGAGTGCGCAAGATGTATAGCCGACACAAAAATGAAGTAATGTGCAGAAAACAGTGCGATAGGTGCGCAAGATTAGCGCGATTAAATGATGGGAAAAATGCAAGTAATGGTCACAAGCGCAAAAATAGCGCGATGCTACAATAATAGCAGCGATTAACAGTGCATGGCAAAACTGGCAAGTAATGTGCAGAAACAGTCGATGAGTCGTGCGCAAGATAGCGCATGAGCAAAATGCAAGTAATGTGCAAAACAAGTACGATGAGGTGCGCAGAGATAGCGCGAAAATGCATGGCAAAATGCAAAGTAATGTGGCAGAAAACAGTGCGTGAGGTGCACAAGATAGCGCGATAAAATGCATGGCACAATGCAAGTAATTGCCAGAAAATTAGCGCGTGAGTGCGGCAAGATTACGCGAATAAAATGCATGCAAAATGCAAAGTAATGGTCAGCACGCAAAATGTGCGAATGCGGGCAAGATAAGAGCAATGTATCAAATAAAAAATGGCACATGCAAATATGAAGTGGCAAAGATGGCACAAATCTGCAAAGAGGAATTCATGAGTGCGAAT